CCCTCTCTCTCTCTCTCCTCCCCCCCCAAATATCAAGAGAAAACATACCCTGGGGAGAGAATTAAAAAAAAAAAAAGATCAACCAAAGGACTTGTATGCATGCATATAAGCCTAACTAATGGACACAGAAAACAGGGGCGTGAGGGCATGAGTTGGGGAGGTCAGGGGGGTTATGGTGGGATAAGGACACATATGTAACAGCTTAATCAATAAAGAAATTTTTAAAAAAGAAGAATTATATAAGGAAAGAAGGGAAATATCCGAGGTGGAGTATTTCAGCTTTAGGTAAGTCCTTCAGCTCACTAGGGTTCTGAGCAGAGTAGGTGATCCTTACGTTAAAGACCTATAACCACGTGGGCACATCCAGTCACAGAGGCCCCTGCGAGGGTTACCTTTCAGACAAACATGACACAATCCTGGCCCCCAAAGGGCCTTGCTGGATGCTGGACACAAGATGAAAACCAGAGCTAGCAGATACTATTCTGTGGGGCCCACAGTTCCCAGAAAGGGGTGGCTCCTCCATACTTACTGGCAGGGAAACTATTTTTGCTCCTTGTGCGGCTGCCTTCCGGACGAGGCCACAAGCTCGAGTGAGATTATCCGATTTGATGGAAGAAACTTGAAGTTGGATGAGGGCCAAGCGGAAAGCTGAAGAGGAAGAGAAAACAAGTGTCAGAAGATCTGACTGCTGAGTCAGAGCAGCATTTCTCACCTGAGGACAACCCCACCTCCCAGGACATTTGGCGGTGTCTGGAGACGGTCTGGACTGTCACACTGGTGGGGTGCTACTGGTATCTACTGGTAACAGGAAGAGGTCAGAAATGCTGCTAAACCTGCCACAATGTATAGGGCAATCCCTCCAACAAATTATCCAGTCCAAAATTTCAATAATGGTGATGGTGAGAAACCTTGGTAGAGCAACTGCCATGGGCAGAGCCCCATGCCAAGCTAAGAACCTGAAGTGAAGTAGGCAGGAACAGATGTTTACTTACAAATGAGAACAGGGCTTGAAGGAAGACAACTAGGTTTGAATACCAACTATTCCTTACTATTGGATCTTGGGCTTCGGCCTACCCCTCATCCGGGTAACTGAGGGCACTCCAGTACAGAAGGTGAAATCACACTGGGAAGGGAGCAGTGGGTCCATGGGAAGGGGAGACACCTGTCTCAGGTTCCCCATTAGGGGCTGGGACTCAATGCCTAGGTGGCAGCTGGTGGGCTGCAGATGTGCCCAATCACAGGGCAGGGTTCCTGCATACCTGTGAGGGTCTGTACTCACTCCATGAATTTACCTGTGCCCAAGGGACCGCAACATTAAGTAGCAAATAAAAAACACCACGAGATGTTAAGACACTTCAGAAGGAAAAGCTGACAGCACTTTTTCCTGCGATCTTAACAAGGCTCCACACCTTTACCAGGGACTGGACCCCACAAATTATGTAGCCAGCCCTGCCAACAGATCTGTGGTCAGCCTTAGGGCAAGGAGGTCTGGCTTATTCCCTCTGTGAGGTGGTAGCTACACCCTACATTTGCTTTCCTATATTCTTTAGAGTTCTCTTTCAGCTCTTATAGTAATCACTTTTTACTGGTTAATAATTCTTTATATAAAACTGTCCCTGTTCAGGTGACTGGTGTGGTTTCTGCGTCCTATGTGGACCCTGACTGATACACAGTTTTTGCTCATGGTCTGAGGTGAGGCTGCTAGCTCAGGAATTAGCAGTAATGCCCTGCCCTAGCTTCCCTACCCACCCCTGCTCTATGGTGTGAAAAGCCCACCACGAAAGAGCGCTCACTCTGGGTGTCTCCTGAACCTGTGCAAATGTCCTCAGAAGAGGCAGGGCTGACAGACCTGGCCTTTGATGAAGGCCTGTCTGGCTCAGGGTTAACCCTGAAAGGACAATGCAGACATCGCATTCCTTGGCTTATAAAGTGAGAAGAGCTAAATTTAACCCCGAATGCAGCTTGTTAAAGTTTCAGAATCTGGATGAAAACAAAGGAAACTAAAATAGGGAACAAAAGCTGGGATTACTTTGGGACAAGCAAATATGTTGAACAACACACAACCCACTACAGGTCTCCACTGTACCTCAGAAGCTGGGCTTGTCTCTGCTTCAGAGGAGGACTGGGAGATGGGGGTGGGGGCAGGGGTGAAGTCCACACAGCTATTACTGGCTTCCCTCTCCCCCATCCCACCCAGAGAGGCAGCTCCTGAATCAGGCTTGGGATTGCCGCAAATCGCCCATCCACGGAGGGGACTGCACCAGGGCAATTCACCATTGATTGGGGAGTACTAGTTACCTCAGCTGTAAAATACAAATACAATGATTCTGTAGGTCCCTGGCTGCCCTAACAATCATCGTAGTCTAACAACGAAGGACTTACCCAAGGAAAAAAAATATACATAAGTGCAAATGCCAACATGGGAACATAAAACACTTTGTAAATAAGGAAACAGAAGCTTGCAGAGGGAAAAGCTGCAGTCAGTGAACAGTGGCAGAGTAACAATCCAAGCCCAAACCTGGAGCAGTAAAGCAAGATGGGCACCTTGTTTGTTTATTTGGCGGGGGGGGGGTTGTCATATGATTTGAAAAAACTCAAGGAAGTCAGACAGCCACCACTAAGAAGCACAGCTCTCAAGTCCATCAGCTGCCATGCCCGCCTCTGCAACGATGCAGTCACATCCAGAGGGAGGTGTGTGACAGGGCTCCATATGACGATCCCGAACAATCGTTCAGCCACCAACTTGCACTCCAGGTTGAAATAAAAAACAAAGAGCACTTCCACACCTTATCGTCTCACGGGAGCCTCACAAGACTCCCACGTAGGGGCACGTGTGTCCATTTTACAGGTCATGGGACTGAGGTCCAGAGAGATTAGAGGACTCGTTGACAGGGGAAGCTACTGACTGAGCCACGACTGGAAGACTTCAGGTCTCCAGGCTGAGTCCAGAGCACCGCACTGCCCCGAGTCAAGAAATCTGGCACAGGCCTGGGGGCAAACTCAACCCCGGGTCCGACCCGGCATGGGGCTGTGGAACTAATATGCAATACCCAACCTCTAAGCTCAATGTCCAGGTGCAGAAACTACTTGCCCAATTGTTGGCTC